GAATTATTAATAATAAATTAATGTATAATTTATTTGTCTAAGATTCATATATTATTAGAATCTAAAAATTGTTCTGAAATAATAAATTATCTTATATAATAGAAAATTATATATTACTTTGATTAAAAAATTTTAGAAATTAATTTTGGTACTAATCAATAATGCAGTGATTCATAGTACAAAAATCATATACTACTCAAATTTATGCATTCATCTGTAAGTAATATAAATAGGTAATAAATTAATATATAATTAATTTATTATATATATGATATATATTAATTTATATATATAAATCTATCAAAATATATATAATGCAACAAATTAATATATATAATTACTCAATATCAAAATATCAATATAGAACTCTTTCTTCAATACAAATATAAATTACAATTATAAATCTAAATAAATCTAAATACATAATCAATACTAAAACAATAAATTAATACATACTAAAAAATACAAAATTATTTTACATTCAAGCAATATTGAAACCTTTTCTTATTACAAATGCTAATTATAATAACAAATTTAATTAAATCTAAATACATAATTAATACTAAAACAATAAGCTAATCTATACTAATTAATGCAAAACTATTTTACATCCAAACATATTCCAAATATGAATTACATTAATAAATTCAGTTAAATCTAAATACACTATACTGAAATAATAAATTAATATATATACTAATTAATACAAAACTATCCTGTATCACAAAAAGCATTAGAAACTCTTTTTCTTTATACAAAATATAAATTGCAAAACTAAATATCTAATTAATACCGTTTTGCAATGAAACTTTTAGATGATGCAATATGAAATATTTGAATGTTGAAAATGAAAATGTTCCTAAAATTTGTTGTCCTTTCATTTTCAACGATTTTTTTCTTTGTCAAACCAAACCCATTTTAGGGAACCTGTTTTTCAGGTAAGTATTTCAGATGAAAAATGATACTTCAAATGAGTAATTTCTTATTTAATTTGCTGCAATCATTCATTAATTCAGTTAACAAAAATTTCTTTCACACAATAAATTTAGAAAGAGAAAAAGAACCATCGAAATTAGTTAAACAATTAGTATTTAATTATTATCGGTGTGGTAAAAATTATGATTGCAATAAATAAGACAATATTTTAATAAACATTATCTAATCATACATTTTCATTTATTTGTATTTCATTTATCTAAAGCATTTAAGTAAATAATTTCTAATATCCAAATTTTAATTGTTTTATTTGTATTTCATTTATTTTAATTGTTTTATTTGTGTTGCATTTATTTTATTTGTATTTCATTTAGTTTTAGTTTTTATTCGTGCATATTTTTGTTTCTATTAAAATTAAATATAAATTGCCCGATCTATTTCTATACAATTAAAATATGGATATTGGAAATGATTTACTTAAATACTTTCAGATACTATATATAAATCACTTAAAAGTTTTAGCTTCTAATAAATTTAAATACATAATTTGGATATTGGAAACGATTTACTTAATTATTTTCATATAATATACAAATTGCTTAAATGTTTTAATTTCGAATTAAATTAAATACAAAATTTGGATATTGAAAATGATTTACTTAATCATTTTCATATAATATATATAAATTGCTTAAGTTTTAGCTTCTAATAAATTTAAATATATAATTTGGATATTGGAAACGATTTACTTAATTATTTTCATATAATATACAAATTGCTTAAATGTTTTAATTTCGAATTAAATTAAATACATAATTTGGATATTGGAAATAATTTACTTAATCATTTTCATATAATATATATATATATAAATTGCTTAAGTTTTAGCTTCTAATAAATTTAAATACATAATTTGGATATTGGAAATGATTTACTTAAATATTTTCATATAATATATATAAATTGCTTAAAAGTTTTAGTTTCTAATAAAATTAAATGCAAAATTTGGATATTGGAAATTGTTTACTTCAATATTTTCGTATAATATGTGTATATAAATTGCTTAGAAGTAATAATATATCAAAGAAACAAATCAATTCTTTTCGTTCAATTTTAATTTACCTTTCCTATTTTTGTTCATTCAAATTGAATTTACCTTTTATTACGAAATAAAATGAAATACATCAAATTAACATAGATTTATCTAGAAATATATTTTTCGGACTAATAATACATAGTAATATAATAAAAGTAAAAGGAAAGAATAGAACTAATCATATGTTTGAAATGAAATGATAGAAGTTGTAAACAAACTTTTACACTATTAGCAACAATTCTATAATTAGAAAATTAAGATCAACTATAAAATTGAATGTTTGTCAATAAATTTTCACTATCATATCACATCTATTCTTAAGTGAATATGATTGATATAAATGAAATTTTCAAACTTAATTCATATTTGTAAATATATTCCATCTTAATTTATATAATACTCAAATTTTAGATTAATTCAAAATATTATTGCGCTTTTATTATTTTTTCGATTTTTAATTTCAAATTAAATATTATCATTTAATGCATAAATTTTTGAGAAATATTTGATTAAATAAAAATATTTGAATAAAATTAGCCTAATTAGAATCATTAACAATTAAAAAATTAAATTAAGACATTACTTCTTACATTTGCATTAAAAAAAATATCCCATTGAAATCAAATTTCAGTAATTATATTAGCCTAAATTGAATAATTAGTAATTGCAGTATTAAATTGAAGCAGTATTTCTTATATATGCATTTAAATATTAATCTCTTCAAATCACATTTCATTAACTATATTGTATAAAAAAATAAGAGATAGTCATATTATATAGTAAAAGTCTACTGAATAGCCAACTAAAAAAAAATAGTAAATAATTTGGTAAGAAGAAAAAATTGCAAAAATTAAATTAAAAAAGTAAACATCACATAGTTAAAAAAAAAGTAAACAATCAATAAAATCCATTTCATATAAATTGAATAAATCCATTTCAAATAAATTTTTTTAGGGAAAAAATGAATAATTTATTGAATAAATCCATTTCCAATTTATTGAATAAATCCATTTCAAATAAAAAAAAAGTTTTTTTTTTTAAATAATTAAATGTTTTGTTTTAATTCCTTTCATAAAATATTTGTTAAATTTCTTAAATATAAAATGCCATCAGATAAGTTATTTCGAGCATTAATTGCAAGAAAATAATGGAAAATGGATTGATGTTGAACAAGCAATTTAATGATTTAATTAACATATCATAAAATTAATGGTTTGGGAGTAATGCAGTATCCAAAGGATAGTTAAATTTATTCGAATGATTAGGATGTCAATAAAAACTGGTAGCAGAATGATTCGTATGAAGAGTTAACGATAGATAAAGATGCTATATGAAGATTAAGACTGGAATGTTGTGATGATAAAGTGATAAAAGTACACTCAGTATACGATATGAAACAGTGAGTAGATTTTTAAAAGTATTAAACAAGATATAACTAAGGATTGATTAAGACTAGATAATTAGTACCTATTGATAATTAAGCTAACATAATGATTTGTTAGTTTGAATTAATAATTACCTTAGAGATCGCTATTTTCAATCGTATCACATCATATGTATTTCGCAATTTTAATGTATATTTTACCTTTTAAAATTCAATTATTTTTTTGAAGGAATATTTTCGCTTATTTTAAAAAATAATTTGCATCAGTTTTATTGATCTTTCATGATAATACTATAATAACATTTTTTTATTTATAGAGTATAATGATTGGTGTAAATATTATTTTCATTGATATAAATGCCAATAATAATAATAATAATAATAGTAATAATAATAATGATAATAATAATAATAATAATAATAATAATAATAATAATGATAACAATAATAACAATAATAATAACAATAATAATAATAACAATAACAATAATAATAATAAATAATTAATAATAAATAATAATAATAACAAATAATTGTCATTTCAACAATAATAACATTAAATAGTCTTTACGGAACAAATTCTTGAATATAATAATTGCTTCATTGCAAAGATCATAGTAGCATATATTGATTGAAAACCGTATTAATTACTATTAGTAAGAGAGTTAAAATGAAATGACATATCTGTCACATAATATATAATTTGATGCATTCTTCAAATCTACATTTGTTATTTTTATGCTCGAATTTATCGGACAAGTTTTAATTAATTATACTAATTGCTATTTGAATGGAATAACAAATATGCTTGTCAACAACATCGACTATTTCTAACTGTAATTAATTAATTAATAATGTTATATTTACAAATAAATAATAAAAATTAATAATTATTTCCTTTTAAATGATATGAAGAGGATGAATTTTGTTTCATATTTTACATTCCAATAGATGAATAATATTTTGCGCAACCTTTTGAACTCTTAAACAAATACATCGATGTTTTGTATATTTTTTAGTATAACACTTCTATTTCTTATACGAACATTTTTTCAAAAGAAATAACTTAGTTTTAGGTATTTTCAGGTGGTAGCAATTAAGTAATTTGACGGTTTAGTCAAATATGTAATTTCAAAAAACAAAAGTAATAAATGGAAGGTTAGATAGTAAATAAGGAAGGCTAGGTAGTAAATAATTTAGTACCTAAACCGAAACGATTGAAATTTCTCAATAGAAATTTAATTAGAGTAAGTAAGTGAACGGATCAAAATGTGATTCATTTTTTAAATTTAACAAAAATTTCAATTTAATATCATATCATTGTAAATTTATCATTTATCATTATCATTTCGTTATAATTGAAATTTTTGTTTATTAAAAAAATTGACCGGAAAATTTCGAAGTTTTAAAATTACCCTGCAATAAATTTAAATCTTCTTTGCTTGGAGAAATGAGCAGTAATTAAATTTACTTAATCACTTTATTATCTTAATTCCAATGTTCAATAATTCTTATCATCATTTCATATTTCATATTGAAGGACTTGTTAACTTCTTGTTATAACAAAATTATAACTTCAGCTTATTAATCATCATTATCAGGTAATTGTTCTACGCGATACTTATATGTTATGCCTGGTGCAAAAACGCCATGTAACCAATGCCGAATTTGACGAAAATGTTGCACATCATGCTGAAAGTATAAGTTAATAAAGATTTAAGTGAAAAATTGCAATTATTATCAGTGATTGCAAAAATTATTGTAGATCTAACAAAAGAGGAATACGGTATTTTACAAATGAAATTTAATAAAAACATTTAAATGATTTGAAATACTAAAATAGCTTTAATTAACTATACCATTAAAATAGCTATGGAATAATATCTATGTGTTATACATAAATGGTTTTGTTAATTTTGGAAAATAAAAATAATACTCACATCGGATCGTTGAATTTGTGGGATATCTGGCTGTAAATAAAATATTTATCAGTTTATTTTTCTTTAATTATTACTAATTAGCATAATTACTGTTTTTTTTTCTTTGCGCCAACAATCCAAGTAAACTTTCATTTGAACAAAAATTGTATTTTATAAAATTTTTATTTTAATGAACTAATGACGTCAAATTACCATGATTTACCATAATTACCAATAATACCATAATTATTTTTTAAATGCTTATCAATGCAATCTTATTAGAATGTGTATAAATATACAAAATAGTTTTGATGATTTATTTGATGTTATTCTTATAAAATTAATTTATGCATCAATTATTTTAATTTTAATAAATTTTAATAAATTAATAAATTTATACACAGTACATTGATATAACCTAATTTATGTACGGTACACTACAGTATATTACTTGACTATGGTATTTTAGTATTTGCTACTATCTAATAAGTATGAAAAAGCGTTAACTATATGTCTGATGCTATGTGTATTACTTTGTATTTATATGATATATGTATATGATAAATCATGTATATAATATATATGACATTTTGATTTATAATGGCTTATTGATATGATATATATTCCAACTTAGGTGCGGTGGTACATCATGATATGCTATATGATTATATTGCTACTTTCAAACAAATGAAGCAAATGAAAATCGAAATTACAATTATGATATTTTACCTCTTCATTTCGTTCTAAATCATATCCAGGTCGTATGATACGATTAATATAAGCATATGATACATAATCGGACTTCTCTTTCTTGCTAGGCTCAGCATCCTTAAAGTTATAAAAAGGGGAAATCTATGAGCAAGAGGTGTAATATTATAGTGTAATATTATCTTCCTCCTACCAGTTTACATTTTATCAATTATTTTTGTATAAAATTTTTGTTTTCTCTCTCTCTCTCTCTCTCTCTCTCTTATTTTTGTCAACTTTTTGATTATCCAATAATTATTGTTCTTTAATTGTCCTTTAATTATTTTCATCAATATTTTTTAATATGTTAGTATTATTTTTATTGTTATTACTTACAGTTAGCGTTATGCATTACGTAAAAAGTTGATTATGTTGCATGTCAAATATTACATGTTGTAATATTATATCAAAGAATTTTCTATATCTATCGATGCTAATCAATATCAATGATAACAAAATATCGATGATAATTGATAAAAATAATCGATGCTAATCGACGCCAATGATAAAATGTCAAATATTGCATTTTGCAGTATTATATCAGAATTTTCTATCTCTAAGGATGCTTATCAATATCAATGATAACAAAATATCGATGGCAATCGATGCCAATGATAAAATGTCAAATATTGCATTTTGCAGTATTATATCAAAGAATTTTCTATCTCTATCGATGCTGAATCGATATCAGTGATAACAAAAATCTTTAAACGAATCGATATCAATGCTAACAAAAATTTTTAAACACAATATAGATAAAAAATGAGACAAAATATTTATATAACTTATACTATATATGTTTGAAATTAAAAAAGTATCTAAGGTAAGTATGCTTCTGTAATGATAAGATGATAACATAATGATAAGATGATAATGATAGCAAAATGAACGGTAAATGAAATAAAATTATTGAAAATGTAATATTTAGAAAAAATAATTTTAGTTTCATTTTTAAATATATAGATAAATAAGCTAGATTAATCATATAATCCTTTCATGATTAATGCATATCATTAGCATTGTTATCATCATTTTTATCATTACTACGATTACTGTCATTATTATGAATTATCGTTAAAAACATTTTAAAACAAAAACAATAAATTTCGCGGTAAGATTTTAATTATTACTAAATAAATATCATCAACACTTTGCAAATAATATTTTTTAATTGCCAAAATTTTCTATCACTAGTTTTGAATTGATAATTCAAATATCATTTAAGCAATCAATTAGTCATACTATGAAAACTTATATATTTATATATAAAAAATCATATAATTAATAGCTTAATAATGTTCTAATTTAATTATTAATAAAATGATAGAATTCCAATTAATCACTGTTCTAAATCCTTTTTTATTCCTAATAATAAATTCTTCAATTATATAGCTTATTAATAAACCATTAATTAAATTCCTACTATTAATTAGCAGCAATATCAAAAATAGGAAACTTACTTTTTCACTCATTTCTTCATGATATTCTACCATTGGTGGTTTAATAAACTGAAGAAATTAAAGAAGTATTGCTTAAAGATCGCTCGTGATAGTTAAAGCAAAATTTGCTTATAACATTGATGGATAATGAAAATATGTAAATAATTACTTCTAAAATCATACAGTATGCAGTAAATAATAGATGGATTAAATTACTGATAATTTTAATTACTTAAATAACAGATGAGTTAAATTACTGATTATTTCAGCTAATTAATTATCAGATGAATTAAATTACTGATAATTTCAATTACTTAAATAGCAGATGGATTAAATTACTGATAATTTCAACTAATTAACTAACAGATGAATTAAATTACTGATAATTTCAATTACTTAGATGATTGATGGATTAAATTACTGATAATTTCAATTAATTAATATAGAAGTAGTATTTTTTTTCTAATTCAATAATTCAAAATTTGAATATTTAAATGATTTATTTATGTAGAATGGTAATTAAACAAAGCATTGAAATGTTAATCGTAATTTATTGAATTACTTAGAATAAATTTGAAAAATATTTAATTACCGGATGATCAGAAATGAATGGAAATGGTACAACTAATTGATCATCTCCATAGAAATAGAAATCATCACAGAATGGAAATATTTCAACACAAATATATTGTTCTAATCGTGGATCAAATAAAAAATCATCATGAATTTTACGAGGATACATCATTTCTGTAATAATATTTCATCCTTTTTTTGATTTCAGAGTAAAATTTGCTGAAAAGATGAAATTAGGTATGTAATGAAGAGATTGTATACTATAAAATTCTTTATTTCCGTTTATCTTTAAGAATAAAAATGCATAAGAATTGGAATATAAAATTTTTGATGCTTTATTTCTAATTAAGATTTTTAAATTTAGAAATCGATCAACACTATATTAATATTTTTATTAATATTACTGTTGTTAAATACTAATTAACTATTGTTATTAATTTGATGAAAGATGAAATAAGGTGTGTAATGAAATGAAAAGAGATTATATACTATAAAATCCTTATTGTCAGCTTATTTTTAGGAATAAAAATGCAAAAGAATGGGAATATAAAAATTTTGATGCCTTATTTCTAATTAAGAATTTTAAATTTGGATATCGATCAACACTACATTAAAATTTTTATTAATATTATTAATGTTAATTACTAATTAACTATTATTAATTATCAGTATTATCAATTAATTACTATAGTTTATCACTGGCATTAGTGCTAGTAGTAATTAATAACAATGTATGGTATAAGTAATAAATAGCAACAGTAATAGTCATAGTAACAATAACAATAACAGTAATAGTAATGGTAATATAGTAATTAGTAATTGTAGCAGCAATAGCAATAGTTATAGTAATAATAATAATAGTAATAGTAATAATAATAGTAATAGCAATAGCAATAGTAATAGTAATATAATAGTAATAGTAATAGTAATAGTAATAGCAATAGCAATAGTGACAGTAATAGTAATATAGTAATAGCAATAGTAACAATAGTAATAATAGTAATGATTATTATTATTAGTAGTGGTGGCAATAATAGTAGTAATAATAATTTTATGATTATCTTATCATTAATTCGGCATTGCTTTTAATAAATATATCGCTATCGTTTGAATAAATAAAGCAATGTCAACATCATAAAATTAACGTAAGAGATCGAAATACCATTTCACCTCTCGTGCCACGGTATTAGACGAAAAGGTTTATCATCATCGTAATACTAAGTTTTAAAAAAAAAAGAACTTTTAATAATGAAATTAAATTTGTTTGAAAATTTCATCCCTTAATAATTATTTCGAATATTATGAGAAATGATAATTAACTAATTATATTATATATTACGCGTTAATTAATTAATACCCTCAGCAAAACTTTTCAACAACGTATGCGATATGGTAACATTTTCAGATCTCTTTCCTTGATTAATCCAATTACATGCAACACATCCTCTTGGTAAATCAAATTGAAAATCGAATGGTACCGATCGTAATAATTTATCAAAGTTTTCAATGAAAATATTTATCAAGCTTTCCAAATAAAGCTTTCGTCGTAAATTCCAATAGAAATCTTCATCAATACTTAACACTTGGAATTCACCATTTTGAAATATTTGAATTGCAAATCCTTTAAAAAAAAGTTTTTTATCATTTTTATCAAAAAAGGAAAATGAAAGTTTATTAGTATTTATTTCACTTAAAATAACTATAATATGCTATTAATGAAAGATAAAATAATAGTTATAAATGTAATAATTAAAATAATTTATTTAATTATTTTATTTGTTAAATTTTAATATTCGATTTTTTCCATCTTTTGTTTTTTGCTAATAAGACAATTTCGTATATCAGTTATAGAAATGATAACAGCATCATTCAACAAAATTCGTCTCCTACCACAATGATAAAATGCGTAAAGCTAAGAAGACATTTTACTCAATGAAATAGGAAGAATGAAAATGTATGAAATGAATAAATTCGAAATTGAAATGGATAAAAATCAAAGATTGGAATAATTTTAGGTAAAAGTAAAAATATGAAATTTAACTACAAAAATTTCTAAAATTACGAATGATGAAAAAATAATTATTTATGACTAAGACTATCGAACGAAAATATCTTTAATATGCAAATGTAATTTGAAAATTCATTTTCATAAAATTCATGAAAATTTAAAATTAGTATAAAAATACTAACTTTTATTGTTTTGATGCCTAATACTGCAACCTGAAACAATACTAATGCATTCGGTTGTATCGAAATCATAATTTACATAATTTGAATCACGACAACCGCAACCACGAATTAACTTTTCGCAATTAAACACTTCAAATACTTCATATAAACCTTTTGAGCTAAAACGATAACCAATTGGATAGGTATTCGATGGAGCAAACAATCTGCAAATATTCAAATATTTTCAATTTATTCATTCAACAATTTATTATTAAGCAATTGAAATTATCTCATTGATAATATTCACGAATACAGGTGTAATAACAGGTGTAAAATAATATCAAATAACTGCTAAGTAATTAATAAAATAATGATTTATTCAAATTAATCTAATTAATCTAATAGATTTAATTTTTTTCAATTCAGCCATTACATTTTTATGATATTAAATAATTAAGTTAATTTAAAATTTCATTCAAATAGCTCTCAATTAGTATTCAATATTTAAAATTATACATTTATTCAAATTTATAAATTGAAAATTTAAACATTTTAAAATTGGCTCATGATGAGAAAGAAAAAAATAGTTTCTAAACATATGTATGTAAATTTTTATCCGGTATTCCGTAAAAGAGTATCCGTAAAGAAAAAATAGTTTCTAAACATACGCATGTAAATTTTTATCCGGTATTCCGTAAAGAATATCCGTTAAAGTACATCGTTCTCTTGCATTCATTCGTTTAACTTCGGTTGGTTTTACGAATCCTCGAAGAAATAAATCTTCGCTCATAAATGGTGAAATTCCAGCATGAAGACATAAAAATTCTGCAATTAAAATAAATATTAAATTTAAATTTATTCATCTAATTGATAATTTAATGTAATTAAATTCGTTTAGTTTCGTTATTCTGAAATGAAATTTTTTATCACCAAATAAATGATAAATTAATTTTATAGTGTGATACTTTTTTTGCTGACCTTCTAACCTTTTGATAAGCTTACAAATAAATGATAAGTTAATTTTATAGTGTGATTTTTTTTTGCCGATCTCTTGACCTTTTGATAAGCTTGTTTAGTTTAATAAAAGTTTATTTAGTTTAATCAATTATTTCTGTTTTTCATTTGATAAAAGAAGCAATGTTAAAAAATGATAATTAATAATTCGTTTATAAAAATTTCCGCTAATTATTAACAATTATAAAAATATAAAATAAAGTTTAAAAATATATATATTTTGATAAAATGATAAGAAAAATCAATTTAGTATTAACGTACTACCAAACAGTCCAACAATAGACAAATGTTCAAAGAGTATGATAAAACTTTGAAACAATCGATCATCATTAATCTGCAAAACAATAAATTTATTCATATTATTAATTAATAAAAATTTATTAAAAATAATCAAATTCTTTTTTCTTTGCAAATTTATGAATTAAAAAGTAAATTTGATATTATTTGTTTTGATAAAATACTAAAAGATAATGAAAAAAAATCAATTAAACCATTTTATTCATTTCCAATTTTCAATTCCAATTTTCAATTCAATTCATTTTTCTTTTAATTACAAATAATTCCCTCGATTTATTGTTTTCGAAAATTTTTCACACTTTTAAATCAAATAATACAATAAATATATAATTGAAAACAAAACCTTGTAAATATTTGAATTGAATTAATTAAATATTCGAATTAAATTAATTAAATTTAAAGTTTTATTTTTTATTGAAATAAATATTATAAAACAATAAAAAAAGTTAACAAAAACAATTGGGAGAGCAATTATAAATGCATACTTTTTAAGATAATTATTTGAAATTAAATTTTTAATTATTATATTTATTAAAAATTTGATTTCAAATATTTATCTTTTTTTTTTTTAATAAATTCAATAATTAAATTATTAAGTAAAAAAAAAAATTTGAAATGGCTTACAGCTCTATCAAAACCAATTGCTTTACACATCTCATATGTTTCATAATGGCCACGAAAAAGGCAAATATGTCGTGGAAAACGTAATTTCAGGCTTAGCAATAATAATAATGCATCAATTCGTGTTGGTTCATAACAATCCAAATAATCACCTGAAAATGATCGTTTTCTCTTTCTTCGATTGCATGCAGTTCTTTTTTTAACGTTTAACAATGAATGCATTGCATGCATGCATGCCTAAAAGGCTAATCACTAATTGGTATACACTAGGTATCTGTAATGCTAACATAAACCTTAAAATAATAATTAATAATGATAATGAATAATAATTAATAGTAATGACGATAATAATAAATAATAATATTAGTAATAGCAATAATAATATATTATATTAAAAATTTCACATGGATTATTTCATCATCAAATTGACTTCTTAATTTTGGTAATTTTTTTAAATTCAAATTTACAAATTATAATTGTTAGCAAAATCTCAACAAGAAAATAATTAGGTAAAATTTAGAAGAGGAAAAAATATTAATTAACAAACAGAGCGTAAATATAATAACAAATAATTTAATTGTAATTTTTAATTTACAAACAATTTATTTACTTTTTTAGAGAAACAAACAAAGTAAACAAAATAGCAAAACTTTAGAGAAATAAAGGTATAATTTTGAAAACACTAACCTAAAAAGACGTAATAAGCCATTGGTGGCATTTTATTTTTCAACAATGTCAACAAATTGATCAAATCACCATCAATGCTACCAACAACAAATACCATTCCGTGATCAAATGAATCTTCCGGTACAACAGTAAACATATCATCATTTCTATTGATTAAATCGATTACCTGATGTATCAACTATAAAAAAAAATTACCTATCATTTTTAAGCTAAGAAAGGAATCAAGAAATTCTCGATGATATAAAGTATGATGAAGAAAAGTTTATATTACAAACAAAATTTTACTTTCAATTAAAATTTTTAAATTTGCATAATTCTATTCTATCACTCGATCTATTTACTGATTACTAAATAAAAATTCTACTTCATATTAAATTAACTTAAGCAAAATAATTATTATAAATTAATAACAATTATAAATTCTATTATAAATTAATAATAACTATTCTATTTCATATTAAATCAAACTTCGGCAAAATGAATCTTTTAATTATAAATTAATAAAAACTCTACTTCATAATAAATTAACTTAAGCAAAGTAAATCCATCCATTATTGAATTTTAGCTTTTAATTAAATTTTAAATTGTCTTAGTTTTAATCATACCGCAATCATAATATCACGATTCATCCATATCAATGCCGAAATTCCATCACGAAAAGACTTTTTTATAATTGTCACAATTACGGCATTCAAAATATGTGCATTTAACGTTCTACAGACAAATGGAGTTGGAACATTCGCCGGCATTCCCTTTGTTTGAAATCTTCCAGAAATTTAATAAATTAATTTAATTTATTAAAATTAAATAATATCTGATTATATTTTAAAATATTAACTTATTAATAATTTTAATTATGAATTTCTTCTTTTTTTTCGTAAATGATAAAGCAAAATATTTCCTAAAATTTGCGATAATTTGATTTTCTGATAATTTCTGATAATCTGTCAATAAATGATTTTCTGATAATTTCTGATAATCTGTCAATAAATGTTATCAGTCAGTATCAATTCAAAGAAAAAAAAAATTATTTCTATCATTGGTTAAATATTTCAAGAATCATTTCATCGAAATTTCGTATACTTTGATAATTTCATTTTAATTATTTATTTTTACACACCTGTTAATAAATGTTACCAGTCAGTATGATCGATAAATAAATAATGCGATTAATCAAATTTTTACAAAAATTTTATTCTTACTGCATTTTTGAAAAAAAATATAAACCGAGAATATTTAAATTAAATTAAAATTAAATTAAGTTTTTCTAAATTAGCAAAAATTTAATTAAACAAATTTTTCTTTAAAGAAAGATTTGAAGAAGCGAAGTATTTTTTTTAGTATGAGCTTATTAAAAAAAATGGATATTTAAATAATAATTTTAAGTTAATATAATTTAAATAATTTGAGTTGCATGATATTCTTCAAATAGTTAAATTTGAATAATATGTTTGAAATGGCTTAATTTAGGTCGCATCGTAATATTTCACGTTGTTTACTGTATACTTTATTTGTATGATATACTTAATATACTTGAAATGGTTTAATTTACATCGTATCGTAATACTTTACGTTGTTTACTGTAAGTGATCGTTCTGGACATATTTTTAAGCTCAAATAGTTTAATTTCATTATATTATACTTAAAAAATAAATTTAATTTGATTGATGTACTTTGATAAATGCATCGTATATATAATGTAATTTCAATAAATGTGTAACGTAATAAAGTAATACTTGCAAAGCAACTTGCATGCATTGTAATTATTATCATGCTAATTAATACAAAGCAACTGCATGCATTGTAATTATTATCATACTAATTAATACAAAGCAAGTGCATGCATTGTATATTATTATTATACTAATTAATACACAATTAATATGAGCATGTTAATTAATTTCAAAAAATGTTCTGATATTTTTCTAAATTAACAATTACTCATAAATTTATACGAAATAAATGCCATCGATACTATTTATACAAAATAATGAAAATTTCGAAAATAGCTATTGAAATAATAATTCATTTAAAATTTCAATTAATTTATTTTTATTGAAATATATCCTGAAATGTTAAAATAAGCCGGATATTATAATAAATAATAAACAAAAAAAAAACAAAGAGGATTTCAAATAGTAAACAAATAACTAATAAGTAGTAAACAAAAAAAAAATCTAAAAATGGTTAAATAAGAAATAATATGCTAATAAATCATTGTTGATAGCAAATATTTTACTGCAAAGTTGTATGCATAACATATATATATTTACTAAATAGCAATACAAATAATCTTTTATTCAATTTTTTAAATTAATTGGCAAACAAATAAACAAAAGGAAAAAATTGGAAACTTTCATTAATATTACTTAAAATTGATAAGATGATAAATTGATAATATCATTATTTTAAATTTCATTTATGATAGTACAAATTAATTGGCAAACAAACAAACAAAAGAAAAAATTGGAAACTTTTATGAATGATACTTAAAATTGATAAAGTGATAAATTGATAACAATTATATCACTATTTTAAATTTCATTTATGATAATATTTCATTCAAAAATAATTGCCAATTAATGTTTCACCATCAACTTTAGGTAAATCAACAGCATAATGTACGAGAACATTATTTGATAACAAATAAATATCGATGTTAAATGGTGAACAAATCATTGCAATTTGTTTATCAGTGATTAAATCAACGGAATCAACCGTGTAAATGTTATTATCATTGATATCATTTGTTGATGTATATATTACCTGCAAAGATATAAAATAATTAATAATCCTAGTTTAATTAAATGTTAAATTCAAATTTCGTAAATTTTATTTAATAAATATTTTCATTTCTTTTGATACCAACATAAACATTTGAGTAAAAGTTATAATTTAATGCAAAAAACTTATTACAGCTAATGTTTTTTTTTAAATAAAAGAAGTCAAAGGTTAAAATTAAGCATTTAGGCAAAAATTACAATTTAATGCAAAAAAATTACCACAGCTATTGTTTTTCAAATAAAAGAAGTCATAGGTTAAAATTAGTTACAGATCAGTTCATTCCAATCTAACTCTTCCTCTCTAAAACAGAAAAGAAAGAAATACTCAATTTATTTGTATTGAATCTTTTAAAATTTTCAATTCAAATATTTGAGTTTTTTGATTTAAAGAACTAAAAAAGCTGTCAATAACCTGTAATTGCCAGTTGATATTTGTATAAACATTACGAAGTTGAATGATTGCTTGATAGATTGGATTGGCACAAAATTTGACGTGTGAAAATTTTTCCAATTTAAATAATCTATTATATTATTTTTTAAAGCGCTTATAAAGTATGTGAAAAAGGAAAATAAAAACATAATCATATTGCTGGTGAAAATTTTAATTTAATCTTTTGTTTGATAAATATTTGATAAGTAAAAATTGCATTGATAAAATTGTGTGATAAATAAAAATTTGAAACAATAGCAAAATGAATTTACCATGTTGTTTAATAAATAAAGTTTGAAACAATAGGAAAATGAATTTTCCTTGTATCATTAAATTTTTGTTTAATAAATAAAGTATGAAACAATAGGAAAATGAATTTACCTTGTCTCATTAAATTTCTATTTAATAAATAAAGTTTGAGACAATAGCAAAATGAATTTTCCTTGTTTCATTTAATTTTTGTTTGATTAATAAACATTTGAAACAATTGCAAAATGAATTTACCTTGTTGTTTAATAAATGAAGTTTGAAACAATAGCAACATGAATTTATGAAACAATAGCAGAATTAATTTGCCTTGTTTCATTTAATTTTTGTTTGATTAGTAAATATTTGAAACAATAACAAAATGAATTTACCTTGTCGCATAACATTCTTGCAACAGAAAACGATGTTTTGAATCGCGAAGATATTCGCAAATATAAAATTTGTAATTATCTTGAGCTAAAAAAAAAAAATTAGCGACCAAATTTTTTTCAAAGCAAAAAAATAATTTTGGAACTTTTGTCAGAAAATAAAATTATTGATTTTCGTTAATATAATTAAAATTAAATTGCTAAATATTTGCATAGCTTCAATGATAAATTTTAGGAAACAGTAATATATCAATATCAAATTTAGGCTATGAATTTAAAATGGTTTTTTAAAAATGTATCATTTTAATTTTTGGCACTTATCAATATGGTGAAATTGCATATTACATAATTGCTAAGTTCTTTGTTTGCTAAAAATTAGTTTTATGATCTAATAAAGATCGAAAACTGAGATATTTTAAATTTTCAAAATTCTCTCTTGCATTTCAAATTCCAGGATAAATAAATAAATAAACAGGAGTGATAAATTGAAATAATTATATAACCAAGTTCAGTTAATTCTTCAGCATTATTCATTCCAAAAAATGATGCCACAAATGTTAAATTTGAATATTCTTCAGTATCCAAAATAGGCATTAAGCTGAAATCAAATTTTTGAAGGAAAAAAAATCAATATTTTAAAATTTTTGTAAAATTCAAATTTAAGTTTAAACATTGTAACTTTTAGTTTTTTTATTTCAAATTTCAAAAATCATAGAGAGAGAACTAAAATGCTTACTTGCCATGTTTGGTATCAAACATACTATATTTACCAGTTGTATTTTGAAGTAGGATAACTGTTTCATCATTTGATAAAGTTTGCCATATTGAAGTCATTTGCATATTTTTTTCATAAAAATGATCAATGATATTTACATATTCTAAATTAACAATATCTGTATATTTTATTCAAATATTTCAATTATAATTATAATTAATGATATGAAATTCATTTCCATTCCAAATTTTCTATTATTGAAAGAATGTTTTATCATAGAAATAATAAATGAAAATAGAAATAAACTTGAAATGATTAAATTTCAGGTCAACGATAAACTGTTCAATTCATACTCTTATCTAAATATTAATAAGTTACGATCGTATCTAATTTAATTTTAATATCGCAAAATGTTGTAATATAAATTATGCACGCATTTCAAAATTCTACTTAAAATATTCATAATAATTTGGAATTAAAATATTCAACAAGGTAAAAAGAATAAATGGAATACTCCTAACGATACACATAAACAGTAAAATATTAGAATACTTACTTTGACGAAAACAGTGTGTACCTTTTTGAGCAAAAGAATTATTATCATCTATAGTGATAACACAACAATAAACAGATGATGAAAGTTGTTGACAATTTCTCATGCCATTATTAAGTTTGATATTTTTTGTGCTAAAAGAAAACGATGAAACGAAATATCACTTACGTGATAAACGTGCCTCGCGTATCTCTCACATATATATTGCACGTAAGATTTTGCAAAATACAAATAGCATCACTGTGATGTAATTATCAAATTTAAAATGTTAAATTATCGGAATAATTAATTAGATTAATTTGACGTTCAATTCGAAAATTGTCTTTGTATCAGCATTAAATTTACGAAAAAATTCCTAAACTAAATGTTTATTGGTAAATAAAATTATTTCAATAATAAAAATTTTTTGTAGAAAGAAAAGTTGTTAAATTGATTTGCTAATTAAATTTAAAATAATTCGTTAATTGTTTTAAACAAAACTTACATGAAATCATTTTGAAGATCGTCAAGTGCTAATTGCTCAACAAATAATTCATCGGTACGATTATCGAATGATGATAAAATGAGTAAATTATTATTAATATCAATACTAAGTAGTGGCCTAAAAATCAAAATAAAATAATGATTAATATCAATACTAATACATAATATCAATACTAAGTAGTGGCCTTAAAATCAAAATAAAACAATAATAAATTTAATATCCGATTTGTCAACCGATAAAATTTAAAATTAAAAAAAATTGCAAATTTGAAAATATTCTTGAAATAAAGAGTTCTTTATTTAATTTATGCAAAAATAATTTTTTATAGGAATTATTAGGTCAATAGGTCAATCAATAATTATTAGACTTGATGATGAAAAATTAATAATATTTCGAAATTAAGTTTAATGAAAATTTCACAACATCAAATAAATGATACCGTTGTAATTTAAAAGTTGCTAATGTTCGCTTCCTAAAATCATTCAATGGTATAAATGTATAATAAGTTGATAGTTTATTATCTGTTTCATTATTGTTCTTTGACCATAACATAATTAATGCATTGATAATGACCATAATGGTCAAAACTATGAGAATAATCTTCCAAGGCCAGAAATATCGTTGTTGATATATTGTTAATTGTTCTAATTTATTGTCTGTAATAATTTTTGAATTGAAAAAATTAAGTTATATAATAAATGATAAATTTGTCAAATGAAGAAATGTATTAATTAATCAAATATTCTTTTGAATAATTTAAGTAAATATGTTATTAGTAAATAAAGAAATAAAACAATGAAGGAATTAATTTTTTCTTCTCTTCTTTTATTCTTACTGCCAATTGCCGATTATTTCATTCTTTTGCTGTTACTTACCTATTATTCTTATTGTTACCTGTCAATTAAACTGCTCAAACAGTTTGTTTTTTACTTACCTATTATTCTTATTGTTATTTGTCTACTAAATTATTCATACTATTAATTATTTAGCGCCATTAATGTTACTTATCTATCTTCTTATTGCTATTTACTCACCTTTGCTAATTATTGCTAATTGTCTATTATTGTTCTTGCAAGTTAATCTTATATCTAAACCAAATAATATTCATTTCCAATATTCTATATCCAATTTTCTATCATGAAATTTAAAATGAACGAATCAAAAATCAAATACTCTTCAATCAATGATCAAACAATTCTTTTTTAATGCTAAAAATTATTGATAAAAAGTCTCCAAATATGCTGAAATTGTTAATTTTTCAAAATAAAATTAAACAATACATTCAACCAATTACAATTCTATAATTTCCATTTTGATTTTTAAATAATTCCAATTGGTAATTAAAAATTAAGAGAAAAAAACAAAAAGACAAACATGCATAATTGGTTGTAATTAATCGTGAACTATCATTAATCTTTCTCTCAGTCTTTTCCTCTCCATTTGCATACATTTGTTATAAATTGCTGTTGAAATGATGATTAGTTGAATTTCTGCAACAATTTTACGATAAGAATTTAAAACAAAAAAAAAAAAATTGAATCAAATAAATTTTTGCAAATTTCAAAGTTAATTATAACAATTTTGAAACCTTTGAAATTTAGGATAATTTCTAAAAATTCATTTCAAAAAAGCAAATTCTTTTTTGAATGTCAGAATAAAAAAAAGTGAGTAACTAATCATTTATCAAATTGATAATGATAAATGAATCAAACTGAACTGCATAAAAATGATATTTGCAAAAGCATTAACTGACAAGTAACTGATAAGAGTGAGCTTTACGCCGTTTCTCTCTTCCTTTTTATCTCCAAAACTTTCCTCTTTTTTTTTTGATATCATCAAATATTTTTGATTTAAGCTTGCAAATATTATTTTAAAGCTTCCATTTTCTTATTTTCATTTCTAAAAAATCATGCAAAAATTTTTAGGAACAAAAATTTCGGAACAAAAAAAAATTTTAGGAACAAAATTTATTAATTCTATTGGAAATCAATTAAATCAAAAAAAAAAAATTAAATTAATGGATTTCATTTTTTTTGTTCTAAAATTTTACATTGTAAAACGTTAAAATCATTAAAATGCTAATATTAATCATTAAAATGCTAGTACTAAACATTTATAAAACTATTAAAATGCTAATATTAAACATTTATAAATACTAAATAGTTAATATTTCTTATGTTTTATTATTTTCTTTTCCCATTTCATGTCATTATGGAATTTATTGATGTGAAATTGGTATTTTCATAGTTTAAGCATTAACACAAAAGAATCGATTAATTCAATTCCTACCTGTAATGCAAAATTTAGGAATAAAATTTAGGAACAAAGAAAAAATCGATTAATTCAATTCCTTCCTGTAATGCAAAATTTAGGTATAAAATTTAGGGACGGAAAAAATCGATTAATTCAATTCCTTCCTGTAATGCAAAATTTAGGAATAAAATTTAGGAACAAAGCAAAAAATCGATTAATTCAATTTTCTTTATTATAACTTTTTATGACGCATTTCACTTCTATAAACTTATTTTAGTTTCATCAATCAATTAACTATAAAAGTAAATGGGAGAAGTATACTTTCAATGAAAATATATCGGAAGGATAATGAAAAGTTGTCACCATTAATGACAAATTTCTTATTTTTTGAACAAATTATGTTTGGTATAATAAATTTTCTTTACTGTTTATAATTCCTATTTATTTTAAATTTATTTAATTGCAACAATTATTTGAACAAATATTTACAGTAATAAGTTATTGAAAATACAGTATGTTACAAGTTATTGGAAAAAAAGAAGGATGAAATATGTACAGTTTGCAAAATTTGAATTTAAATTTATGATAGGAACAGTTGCAAATTTTGAATTTAAATTTACAACAAGTACAGTTGCAAAATTTGAATTTAATTTTACAATAAATACAGTTGCAAAATTTGAATTTAAATTTATAATAAGTACAGTTGCAAAATTTCAATTTAAATTTACAACAAGTACAGCTGCAAAATTTGAATTTAAATTTGTAATAGAAATAATACCAATACTTATTTCAAAGAAAACACATATATTGAAAAAATATGTGCACTTTTTAATTTTAATAATTTTTCCTTATTGATTTTAAGAATTAAAGAGAGATGAAGAAAATTTGAATTTTTCATAAAATTATTGCCCAAACTATTCAATTTATTCTTCCTTGTTTGATCGATTAAAAATTATGCAAATGAAGTTTTGAATTTTATAAGAAAAAATTTGATAAAAAATTTATAACAAATTTTATTCGTATTCATTCGATTATTTTGTGTTCAAACTTTTAAAATGAAATTGTCAACAAAGTTAATATAAATAGAAATAACGGGTGAATAATTCTTACTACAAAATATTAAATTCTATCATTACGTTTAATAATGAAGCATGAAATTAATGAATTTTAAAATTAATGGATCAATGAATTTTAATTCATTAGCGATACATAGCAAATTTATCTTTTTGTAATCATTTCTTTTTTTTGGAAACTAATTTTTATCATGTAAAATATCACGTACGTGTGGTACCAATAATTAGCAACACATGGAAAATTTATCTTCTGTAATCTTTTTTTGACTATTTTTTACTACGAAAAATATTACATGCATATGGTACTAATTTTTTTCGAAATGGAAAAACTAGCTAACGTACGTGTGGTACTAACTTTATCGAAATAAAAAGCTAACAATAATTCCATTTTTTATAATTGTTTTATATTTATATATAAATAGAAATAGATTCATTAGCGATACATAGGTAAATAGGAAAAGAATTCTGGGCCTTTTATTCAATTAATCAAAAGAGGCGAATAAATGATGCATTTTTTCTTAAAGAAATTTTTGCGAGAATTCATAAAATCAAAAAGTAATAGTTCGATGAACAACTTTTTACTAATAAGTATAGGTTAAGGTATGAAATAATTTTGCTAAAAATATAGATGGAATTAACGAAAAAAAACATATGTGTTATTTTATTTTAAAATTTCACCTGAAATTTAATTTTTGATTTTTTTAAATTCAATTCTAACGATATATCTATATATGTATAAATTGAGAAATCGAATATATATTGACGGTGATAGAGAGGAAAATACGAAAAGAATTCTGGGCCTTTAAATTTGTTCGTGAAAGAATTGCATGTGCCAGTTTGCAATTTTTTACCAGACTAAAAATGACCTTTCAACTTTAGTAAAAAAGCATAAAACTTTATCAAATTATTTATCTAAAATCATTTCTGCTCTTTTTTCTTTTTTTTTTTGTCAAATTATAACTTACCTTGAAAATATTCAAAAAATATTTTCAAGGTGTGTTATAATCTCAAAAAATGAGATAACCTATCATTAGCAATTAATGATTGTTTCATTAAGGAAAAGAAAATAAGATAGAAAGAGATAGAAATGTATAGAGATAGAAAGAAATGATAAAAGATAGGATTGATTTGAGAAGAAGGGAAGCTAATTTCTCTGAACAGCTCAGAATGTATATAAATTCTACCTATATATACATGTATGTATGTGTGAGGCCTTTAAGGCATAAGAATATTACACACACACACACACACACACACACACACACACACACACACACACACACACACACACATACT